CAAAAGTGCACCAAAAGTATAGTGTACAATGTATTTACACCCTCATCCTCAAAATTATTTGGCTACGCCCCCATTAACTACCACTAAATTGCAAATGAGTTAATTGTTTCACTGTACCCCAGTACTGGGGTACAGTGAATCACTTAACAAAACTCACTTTAAACCTTTCTGTGAGCTGTTAGATAATATATATTTAGGTTTTAGTTATTTCTTATCATGAAGGACATATTCTCAATCCTTTAGCCTTGACAAACATAAAATATATATTTTAACTTTCACTCAAATTAAAAAAGAAAGAAATTCGACCCACTTTGCCCCACTCTCCCTAAATGAAAAATATATAATTTTCAAAGACTCCGTATTAAGAAAATTATATATTTTTTATGCTAAATAAAGTTAAGGTTTAACTATATATAGCATTGAAGTATTTTTGGATATTTTAATTTCAATAGATTTAATGATATTTCCATGATATATTTTCATCTATAATCACTCCTAGAAAGTTAAAAAAAGACTCTCTTCTAATCACTTTTTTGTTCATAAAGATTTTCCTCAAGTTAGGGAAAGATAAAACAATCCAATTTATAATTAGTTGTTTGGACAACAAGATTTCTTAAAAAAGGGCAATATCATAACAGTAAATGCTACTGCTACAAGCTATGAAATTAGTCCTCTATAGTTACAAATTCTAAACCATTCAATAACGGGGAAAGATTATTTAAATTTACGAATCATTTACACACACACCTTCCTAAATGCATTTTTTGTGCATTTAGTCGGCAAAAATAACCCTTTTAAAGAAGTCGGCAAATGTAGACCTTTTAGACAGGTCAGTCGTCGAACTTCAATAAAAACAAGGACCTAATTTTTTACTCAACAAAAATTTTAATGACACCCCACCACGTCAAACCTACTTGCACCTGCCCTGATGGCAGCTCAATCATTGGATATTGGTGTTTTTTCCAGAATTGAAAAGAATGTAGCAGAAAACATATTGTCATTAATTAAGCTGTTTGTAAAAAAGTTCATCAGATAAAAAAAAAAGAATACAAGTGCTTTAAATTACTAAGATTTATAAAACACACTTTTACTAAATAATTTTTTTTATTTTAATAAAGAAATGTTTTTGATTACTTGTTTTCTTTAATAAAAACTAACTGCTTCAATAAGCTTGGCGCAAGCCTGTTCCGTAGCTCCGTATCTATTAAACCGGTTGAACTAAATAAGCATTCTGATGGCACGGATGTCGCTGGAACTGAAAATATTATCCGTGCAATTTGTGTCAAAACCGGGAATAATTTTTGATTAGCTTGGAAAAATTCAATGGCACTATTTTCGTAGCTATGAAAGTATTGCAGACTGTAATCATTTATTTCTTTTTCAAGTTTATCATTGCTCTCAATTGAATTACAACAAGATTTATCTGTTACTAGTTCAATTAAGTTGATTGACTTTCGTCTTTTGTTGTTAACTAAAGTAATATTATTTGCAATAGGTGACGTTGACAATTGCTGAAATGTTTTTATGGTATTGTCAGCTGAGCTGTTTGACGAGTTCAAAGTGTTATTTAAACAATTTGTTTCAATTGTTATATCGATTTCTTCGGTTTCTTTTAGATGCATTTCATAAAATGTTTTTATAAACATTTTTGCCTTTGAAATGCATTCATATCTATAGATATCATTTTTGATAAACTCGAATTTACGAAATTTGAAATCAAGAAAAGTAGCTGCTAAAAAAAATCATTAGCAAAAATGTATTTAAAACGTCTTTTTAGAGACCTTAATAATTCCTTTTGAAAAGTCTTAACTAGTTCTGTAAAAATAGGTTGCGATTCAAGTATTTCATTTAGTAGAGAATACAGTGTTGGAAACAGGAATGTTACTGTAACATATTTCTTTCCGCTAAAAAGTTTTGTTAGCTCTTTAATTGGGTGTAACAAATCACACAAATCCTCCAGCACCTTAAACTCAGTAGCAGTGGGAAGATAGTCTTTTATATTTTGGAATTCGATGCTTATCATATCTAATGCAGTTTTATTTGTTAATATAGATTCAATCATATCGAATTGGCTATTCCAGCGAATAGCTATATCCTGTACTAACTTTATTTTAGTTTCATAACGAAGTGTTTCTTGAACTTCTTTTAACTTTTTTTGTAACATCTCTGAATGCTTAAATGAACCAACAATGTGCCTGCAGGATGAAATTACCTTGGCGATTTCTAATTTGCCTTCGTTAATTTTTTCAATTTCTTTAACTTCACTTTCTGTAATTTCTCTATTAATTAGTTTTCCATTACCGTCGTAATCTTTTACTTGGTAACGCTTTGACCCATTTTTAAATTTTTTTACTTTTATATCTCGTGCGTTTAGAAGATGATTAACCACGAGATTCAAACGATGACCAGCACACGGAATCTTAAGAACATTATCATCAAATTTCTTTACTGCAGAGAAAATATTTGCACCTGAGTCAGTAACTAGTGCAAAAATCTTATTATTGATTGACCATTCACTGAAGATTTCGTTTAACGTATTAAATAAATATTCAGCTGTTTTCATTTCAGACATAAACTTAAGATCCAGGTTTCGGTCAACTAGAGTCATATTTTTGTCAATAAAATGACAAGTCACACCGAGGTAGCTGTTTTTACCTAATGATGACCAACTATCACAAGTAATTGTAATGAAACGACATCCCTTCAATTCTAGCATTAAAATTGATTTAAGATTGTCCGTAATTGATGGAATTAATTTCTTGCTCACCGTATTTATGCAAGGCATTTTGTAGCTTTTGTTTAACTCACTAACTAAGTTTACAAAGTCTGGATGACGTACTATCGAAATCGGCTGATCGGTACCAACAATAAAATTCACCAATAACCTGTTTAATTTTTTATGACCAGTCTCTTCAAAACCATTCTCATTACCGCTCTCAATATCGGATATATCGTCATCGTTGAGTAAAGTTGTTGATTTTTTAGATATTTTAGAATTAATGCAATGATCAATTGATAAATGGGATTGCATTGAACTGGTCGAACTGTTGTAAGGTAAAATCTTATAACATATGCTGCATTTTTTTTGATTCTTTTGGTCCATTTCGAAATATGTCCAAACGAAGCTTCGTTTTCTTATTCCTTTCTTAATAACGGATTTATTTGTTTTTGACATTGTTTATTCAAACTAAAAAGCGAGTAGTTTTTTTACTCGTTCGTATGTAACAAATATTAACAAATTAGTAACTTATGATAAAATAAATTTGTACCACATGTTACTTCACTTACGTTTCCGAGATATTAATGAGATTGTTATAACTTTAATATAAAATTACACCATTTTTAGAATTGTGTAACACAAAAATCGCAAAGGCATAAGTCGATTTGAAACCGTTGCAAATCTCTAAATAACCACTAGAAAGTAATTAGCCGTTTACATTGCAACAATGATTTCATGTCATGCGTTTAAGACCTCAAGGGAATTGCCGTTGAGGAATAATAATGACTTATATGCGTGCTGTAAACTATGCGTTCTTAGAAGGGACTGTCAAAATTCTATATTTCTTGTTTAACCAGATAACCTTTATAGGATTTTAGAGAAAAATTCGAAAAATAATTTAGTTTTTGCTAATTTTTTTAAGCTGACCTTCTACTTTATTTTTAAAAATTTACAGATATTAAAAATAAAATTCCTTACAGACTCTTCTAAAGTGTCTAAAGTTACGCAACTTTTCTTTCAAATTTACTTTGATTTTTAAACGTTGTGTTTTCGAAATAAAAAAAGTATTTTCAAAAGAAATTTTTATGCAATCAAAACGACGCGCAAAAAAAACTTTTTATTTTTTTAACGCTATTCAAGCTATCAAAAAGGCTATTCAAGCTTTTGGTGAGGGTAAATATAATCCCTAAAAATAATTTTATAAAAGTAAAAAGTCATGAAGCTTAATCTAATCAGGCGAGAGAGGTGAAGGGGAAGGTATTGTTTGTCCCGGGCAGCAGATGTCCATGGGGCAAATTCGGTAAAAGGCCCTCAAAAATTTGAAAAAGACCCCCTAAATTTGTCCCCCCCCCAATTAAGGAGGAGCGTGGGGAGCCTATCCACGGCTGTGAGTATATCCTTGCTTTTTGGTAGCAGTTTTTTTTAAAAAGTAGCAAAAATAGTATTATTTTCTATATATTTAGAGTTTTATTAAAGTAAAGTTTTTAAAGTAAAGTTTTTAACAAAATACCCAAGAAACAAAATTGAATTGTGCTGCTCAATGTTATGATTTTGGTTGGTGAAGGGGGGGGGGGGGGAAGAGTTAAATTGTTTTCACAAATTGGCCCCTCCTTATAAGTTTTTTCTGAATTGACGCCACTGTTTGAGCCCAATCTGGAAAAATAAAAACTCTACGTCTATGGACTTATCAGTGCAAACAATACATATAAACCCATATATTGGTCACCCGAGAAAAAAAAACCCGCTAATCCTGTTAAGTTCCTAATAAGTTTCCTACTAAAACTTAGTAAGTTCCCGCCGAGTACTTACTAGGAACTTAGTAGGATTAGCAGGTTTTAGTAGGAAACTTAGTAGGATTAACAAGTTTTAGTAGGAAACTTAGTAGGATTAGCAAGTTTTTAGTAGGAAACTTAGTAGGGTTAGCAAGTTTTTAGAAGGAAACTTAGTAGTATTACTAGGGTTTTTACTCGGAACTGAGTAGGTACTTAACAGGATTAGTAGGTTTTTTTTTCTCGGTTAAGTATTACTTTCTAGTTTTAGTTAATAGTTTTTTTAGTTAAATTCATGTTTATTAGGGTTTTATTTAATTATTTGAGTTTTAAAGATTTCATAGATATATTAGTAGGCTTGTTTTTCAAGAAATATACGAGTTTAAGTAAAAATAATAATTTTTACTTAAACACAGAATCTTCTTGAAAATATAATCCTTATAATATAACTTAACTAGTCGCTAAGCAATAAGGACGCTTATTTATGAAACAATAATAAAAATAACAAATAATTAAGTGTTAGATTGTTTAACTAAAACATTTAAAAAAATACAATAAACAGCAATGGTCAGTTCTTTTGGTATTTTTCGCAGGTGTCAGTGGAATAATTGCACCCATAAGATTTTTCTTAATCTTTTACGACCATAACTGTAGCTATAACGTAATTTATAAAAATATTAATGTAATTCAACAACATAATAACATATATTTTATAACAAAAAAGCATATTTAACTTACTATAAATTTAGAACGATGAAAAAACTTTCATTATCATTGTTTCAAAGCTATTATAATCTAAAATTTCAAAAAAAAAAAAAAAGTGTATGAAAATATGAAACTAAGTTAAATTAAAAGAATTTAAATAAGCCTCGTGTGTGTATATATATATATATATATATATATATATATATATATATATATATATATATATATATATATGTATATATATATATATATATATATATATATATATATATATATATATATATATATATATAAAATATATATATATATATATATATATATATATATATATATATATATATATATATATATATATATATATATATATATATACATATATATACACATATTATTTTTATATACATATAAAAAAAAGGAAAATTTACAGTTGACAAAAAACAATTAATAATTGTATCTAAAATAAATATTTAATTACTTTAATAGATATTAATCGTATCCACCTGTTATCCGCGATAACAGGTGGATATGATTTCTTTTCTCTTAACAAACTTATTTAATTCTTAAAAGAAACACTACACAAAGTCAAAATGGTACAAAAAGAAATCTGTTTTAGATCATTGTAAACAACAAACTCTTGTCGCCATTATGAATTAAGTTTGATGTTTCATTAAATAATTGATTGCAAACAGAATCCTAAATAACAACTTCTAATAAAAAAAATATTGTAAAGTAAATATATAATAATACAAAAAAACATAATACAATTTCAAACTTTAAAAAATAGAAATAAAACCTAATCATGTTCATAATTATTTTGAATAACAACACTATAATAAAATTTCTTTGTTTTTTTTACAAGAGCGTAGTGAGTAAATTTGCTTGAATCAAAAACAGCTAATCCACACTTTTTCAACAATAAATAAGGAGATATTTTTGACAAAACATGCTTGATTTTGATAGGAATATTAAAAGAATCCATATGACGATAAAACTTACTTACATTTTTATACAATCGACATATACACAAGATTTGTCTTTGGTTATGTGCAATAAACAAAATTTTCACAATCACATTAAATTCTATTAAATATGCATAATATGAAGCTGATTTTAATTTTTTACCATAATGATAAGCATGAAAAGTTCAATCAGCAACTCTAAAACGGTTATAAAACTGATAAAGATTTAGGTCAACATTTAAATCATTCAAATCCAGGCCTTGTTTTAAAGCGTTACGCCTAGAGCGATTTACGTACGCCTTAAGCGCTTTTTACGTACGCGTAGAGCTGTTTTGGTTAAGCTACTTTTTATCATTTTTTAACTTTTAAATTAGCGGTAACATAAAAGAAGTAATTAATTTTCAAAAAAACCACATTAACTTTTAAATAACGATATGTAAAGGTATTTATTAAAATAAAGAATTTACTTTAAAATTAATTGTTGTAACTTTTCATCGCGATATATCTTTCCTTTTTATAGCAATTAATTTGACGCTAAACTTTTTATCCAAATATTTAGCAACATGAAAAATTGTTTGTCAATCCTTAACTACAAATTTTTTGCAATGTTTTTAATAAAAAGTAGTAAAGTTTTTAGTAAAAAACTTTTAAAAAATCTATATTCCATATTTATTAATACAGAATATAAAAGTTTTTTGTAATATAGATTTTTTATGAATTTTTTACTGAATTTATAATAAAAAACATTTGCAAAAAAATTTGTAATTAAGAATTGACATTTTTTTAAATAAAATCTCAAAAAATGTCTTAAGGTGGTAGTACACTAATAAAAGTAAAAAAAAAAAATTTTTTTTACTTTCATTATTTAACCAATATAATCATCGCAGATTTCGAATTTTTAGTTGATTTAACTAAATAAAAAAAGCTTCACATGTTAAAACCTGTTTATAATGTATCGGTTTAAAATAATTTTTATTTTCCCCCTAGCAACGCTTTGTTTATTCCGTTGTTATGCGCTTCAGAAACAAGTTAAAACCATAAAAAAGCCATAAAATACTTACTTAGCCAACAATTTTAAGTGTAAAGTTGTAGACTGCAACGACTTCTTGTTAATTAGTTCAGTATGATGGCTTTATTGACGTAATTCGCTTCTTGTTTCAAGCTGCATTCAAACTTTATTATTTATGCTGTAGTATATCTTTTATCTTTTTACAATAAAAATACTATAAAAATAATATGGGTGGATCAAAGAGAAAACAATTATCAAGCAGAATATACAATAATAAAAAAGCAAATTTCGTGAAAACAGATATACAAAGATCCCTTCTACAGAAACGAAAACTTTATCTTTTGTTGAATCTGCTACACATTCTGCTTCTTCAAAAAAATTAAATATTGCTGATAGAGATTTTCAAGATTTTCAAAGTACAGATTTTAACTTTGTTATGAACTTTAGTCTGTTGGAAAACGTTATATCGTTACTTAAATGCCCAAATTTGTGTGAAGATAATGTTTTTTTAATGTTTGATTCGTCAAAAAAGTATGGTTTGAGTATTGGATTAAAAATATGTTGTAACAGTTGCAATTGGAAAACTGAGTTTTTTTCATCTGCTACATTTTGTAAAAAAAAATTTCTTGAACAACAAGAGCCTAGTAAAAGCAAATGTAGTGGGCAAAAACCATTTGATATTAACACACGTGTCATTGTGGCTTTTCGTGAAATAGGTAAAGGGTTATCGTCATTAGAAAAATTTTGTGGAATAATGAATATGAAGCCACCTATGAACAAAAAAAGCTACAATAAAACTTTACATAATCTGTTAGATGTTTATCAAAATTTAGTTGACCAGAACATGAAAAATGCTGCTGATGAATTAATCCCTGCAGGTGAAACATCAAGAGACATTATGTGTAGCTTTGATGGTTCATGGCAAAAGCGTGGTTTTACTTCAAATAACGGAGTTGTTTCTGCAATTTCAGTTGAAAGTGGTAAATGTATTGACTTTCAAATAGAAACAAAAACATGTAAATTATGTTCAATATGGAAGTTAAAAAAATACACACATCCAGTTGAATATGAAAAGTTCCAGTCATCACATTTTCAAAAGTGTAAAATTAGTCATATTGGATCATCATCGGCTAGGGAATCAAGTGGTGTTTTAAAATTTTTTCATCGTTCTGAAATAAAAAACAATTTAAGGTATACCACATATCTTGGTGATGGAGATAGTAGTTCTTATACCAGTGTTGTTGCTGCTAAACCTTATGGACAGAATGTAGAAATTAAAAAAGCAGAGTGCATTGGTCATATTCAAAAACGAGTTGGCACGCGTTTAAGAAACTTAAAAAAAAGCAGCAAAGAAATTTTAAGTGATGGTAAAAAACTAGGAGGAGCAGGTCGTTTGACAGAAAATGTTATTAACACATTGCAAAATTACTATGGCAAAGCAATCAGACAAAATACTGGTAGTTTATATGCAATGAAAAAAAGTGTAGCAGCTGTTCTTTTTCACTGTTCTGAAAGTTATGACAATGAAACACGCCATCAATTTTGTTTGCGCACCAAGGATTCTTGGTGCAAATTCCAGGCTGATAAAATAACTGGAAAAAAAACATACAAAGAAAATATCTGTATTCCTGCTGCTGTAAGGGATTTTATAAAACCAATATTTATAGATCTCGGTAGTGATGTTCTTTTAGAAAAGTGTTTGCATGGCAAAATACAGAATCCTAATGAGGCGCTGAATCAATTGATTTGGAAGCGGTGTCCCAAAGATATATTTGTAGTGCTTTATGTGTTGGAGTAGCATCAGCTGTCCTATACTTTAATAATGGACTACAATTTTTAGAGACGTTATTTGATAAGCTTGAAATAACAGTAGGTTGCAATCTACATAACTTTTGTCTTACAAATGACTCTAAGCGTATTTCTAAAGCAGAAAAACAATGCACAAGTATAGTGAAATTGAGGCGCAAGAAACTAAGAGCTATACATAAAGGTTTTTGTGATCAAAACGAAACATTAGAAGGTGCAGTTTATGGAAGTGGGGAGTTTTGAACAATTTTTTTTTGTTTTTATTTTTAAATTGAGTTTTTCTCAAAATCATGTTTTATACTCTGGCAACGGAGATATTTTTCAAACCGATAACCGATTTGATCTGAAATTTGGCACACTTGTTTATAACACATGTATTTGCAACCTCTACTAGAATTATGTTTACAGCTAATTGTGTTCTACTTTTGTGAGTGATTTTGTGTTCTCAAATAACACCAAAACTTCCAAATATGACTAAAATGCATATATTTTGACTTTTTTTGGTCAAAATCCAAAACTTTTAGTGTATGTTGTTATTGCATAAGTAAAGGATCACAAGCCAAAATTTCAGTTCAAATTTATTTACGGTTGCTGAAAAAACCCTGTCGCCAGTTATTCATTTTTAGGCTTTTGTCTGTCAATAATTATGCGCATAATTAATTTTTTAATTTTTTAAAATTTTTACTTATATTTTAATCATATAATATATGTTATGCACTATTAATAATTGAAAAAAAAGTTAAATTGCAAGATTTTTTTTTAATGGTATACTACCACCTTAATATTTTTGTTATCATGATAACAAAAATATCAAGACATTTTTTCGAGATGTTAAAAAAAATGTCTTTGCTTTTCTTATTAGTTTAATAGTATATAGCTTATAGTTAGTTTAATAGTATATAGCTTTTCTTATTAGTTTATTGGTATATAGTTTAAGTTATGCGGGGGGAGGGGGTCGGCACAGAAAAAAAAATTACCTGTTACTCGCAATATTTGAATGAAGACAATTTGTTAAAATTCTTCTGCGTGCGATTCAATAAGTTTTTTTTGTCATAAATCAAGTTATAATATAAGGTAAAGAAATCATGAGTAGACTACAACATCCGCTGATGACACTAATATTACGTTGAATATATTTATATAACGGAGGTTTTAATATGCACGCGCACATTACAGGTTCCGTTAAATAAATACTAAGGCGCGTTTTAGTTTAATGACAGTCTCCATTTTTTACTAATGAATATGTATTTTTTTTATAAAACAAAACAAACTAGTACATAAAAACCTTGTATATTTCTATTATCTCTAAATTATTTAAAGTTCGAATATGGATTGTATTTTGAAGGACAAAAGATTTACTTTAAAAACTTTTAAATCTTGGGACTTTGCCGATGCGATGATCACAGAAAAAGAGAAGACTTACGTTATTAAAATCAAATGTAAGTTATGTGATCTTCATCAAAATAAAATATTATCCAAAAACAATAGTGCCGTAAGGGCAACTGCCCAACGGTTTATAAATAATACAAGTCATGTTAAAATATTTAAACATGTTACTATATTTTAATTAAGTTGATATATAATTAAAAATAAAAATATAGTTCAATAAATAAATTAAATTTATTCTTAACAAAGATTACCTCATATTTATTCTTTTTTTTATTTTATTAAGTTAAATTGCTTACAAACGAAAAAAAAAAAGAGTTTTGTAATTATACGTAGAATGAAAATACTTTTGAGTTTGTTTATAAGTTAAGGAACTTAATTTTTAATAAACAAATTTTTACGAACGTTTATTATAAACAGATACGATTCAAATTATTAAATATACTTAAATTATTTCAGTTGAGTATTTTTATAAGTTTGCACGATTAAAGTTTGGCGTACAAGTATTTGTTTTTTTGTTTTAAGAATAATTAATAAAAGAGTTTGCATAATTAAGACTTTTATATTTAATTTAATTTTTTTTTTAATTTCCTAAAATTAAAAAAAAAAAAAGATTTAATCGTTGAAAACGATTTTTCTCTATAGCTCTGTTTCTTTGTGATTTGTTTAAAAAGTTAAATATTTTTACAATAACATAAAAAGTTTATGAATTGAATTCCTAGCGAACGCGCTCTAAACTACGTATCAAAAATACGCTTCAAAGCAGACAAAACTTTTTTATATTTTTATAAAACGCAAGTTGAAAAGCTTTTAAAAATTTAAAAAATATTTAAAAACTTATATTTTTCTTTGCTAGTCAAAACAAAATCGTTGTTTAAATAATTAACATGGGTTTGTGTTTATCAATGTTAATATTTTTTGTTTACTCTAGAAATTTTTAAAAATAAAAAAAATCATTATTATTTTTTATTCAATAACGATTAAAAACAATTATTCAAAAACAAATTTCAGAAATAATTAATATATATATATATATTTTTTTTACTAAATAATATTGAAGTAAAATTAATAATAAAATAACAATTGAAAACATTACAAAATTTTCATAATAAATTTATATTTAAAACGTTTATAGTTTATATTTGAGTTAATTGTTAAATTGAATTAGTTTGCGGTTATTTATTTATTGCGGTAGTTAAAACACTTAACGCCTATAAAAAAAAATAAAGATAATTTTATGACGTCAAAATCGCGTTAAGCTAATGCATTAAGCACTTTTTTATTTAAAACAAGGCCTGAAATCCATATTCCGCAACTTATCTGATAAATTTTGTGCTGCACCTAACACAAAAGGATTCAAAGAAAAAGTATTTAAGTGGTCTTGAAAAATCTGTCTGAAATCTAATAAATTTTTCAGCCATTTGCCTTCCATGGCCTTTAGTTCCTGTAACAGCCCTCTTTAGTTGGCGATTTACATTTTCAAACACCATAGCAGACGTTGCTGTAAGAGGTCCAAAATTTTTTACCTGGTCAGAGAGATGCGCTAATGCATGAAAAGTGAATGTGCGAATACCTTCACCGAAATAGGGGCATAATGCCTTTTGAAATAAATAAACTAGTTGCTGACAAGTATCAATATCATTTGATGAAACAATTTCATTGGATAATGTATAAATAGATGTTGAAAGCATTAAATAAAGAGAACAAATTTCAGCATTACCAAGTTTGTAAAAAACAAATGGCCCATAATACAATAGAAAATACTTGTGCTCTTGAGCTTTCCACTTAACAAGTTCATTATTCAAATTTTTTGGCTTCCGTCGAAAAAAATGTGGCAATTTTATGGTCTATTAGACTAAAAAGATCTAAAAGACTTTGATGAACATCTTTTTATATAAGAAAAAATCTTCATAAATTTTTCTTAGTTTTTATTTTTTTATTTTGTCTATTTCAAAATTATCATTTTTTTATTTATCAAAATAATAAATATTTGTCAGGTGGACAAAAAAATTACTTTTGCTACTTGTTACAAAGATTTAGGTCAGCAGTTGCATACCGGCGTGAAACAAAAATAGGTTGGCTTTTGCGTTGGCATTACCAACCTGAATTTTGCAGGATATATATATATAATATATATATATATATATATATATATATATATATATATATATATATATATATATATATATATATATATATATATATATATATATATATATATATATATATATATATATACATACACACACTCAAAAAATTTCAAGTTCATTTAAATTCAACATGATTAATGAATAATTATGCATAATCACATTATATATAAAAAAACAGAAAATAAAATAGTTACCTGAAGCTGATTGATTGTACATGGTTTGAGATGGAACTAAACATAGTGTGTGTGTTTATTTATATATATATATATATATATATAAATATATATATATATATATATATATATATATATATATATATATATATATATATATATATATATATATATATATATATATATATATATATATGTATGTATATATATATGTATATATATATGTGTATATATGTATATATATATACATATATATATATATATATATATATATATATATATATATATATATATATATATATATATATATATATATATATATATATATATATATATACATATATATATTTTTATATATGTATACATATATATTTTCCTTATAGAATTACAAATATTAATTAGTATTTTCCGTGTGAATAAATAAAAGATGGCGTATAACAAAGACGATTTTTTATACTTGTTTTATTTTTGAAAACTTACTAGGAACTTACTAAGTAATTCGTTTAATCCTGATAAGTACTTAGTAGGAACTTACTAGGATTAGCAGGAAATTCATAAACGTCATTTCACTTATGGGAAACTTAATAGGTTTAGCCGTATTAAGCGAAAACTTACCAGGATTAGCCGTATTAGCAGGAACTTAACAGGATTAGCAGGAAGTTAAACATATTCCTAGTAGTATTAGCGGGTTTTTTTTTCTCGGGCAGATGTCTGATGTTACGCTTCGGCAATAACTCTTGCGCTGCTCAGCAATACTCGTTTTACGGCTAGCCAGGACTGGCATTTCAGAGAGCCATTATCAAACCAGTGTATACAGCGTTTACACTAAAAAAGTCATTAGGGCCCCAAAATTTAAAAAAACCTGTTACTAAAAATAAAAAAGCTCCCCAAAGTGTCACAAAATCCGAAACCACGCTAGGCTTAAATATGTGAGGTGATTTGCGAACGATCCCTGAGTTATTATTAAATTAATTGCAGATTCTTCTATAAAATAGTGGGAGGTAGTTAAACCCTTTTCTCTGGCCGTAACACCAAAAATTTTAAGTATTATTTTATGTTAATTTTTAAAATTTAATTATTTATAAAAATATTTTAATAAAATTTTGTACAATTTCAGTAATAAAATAAATATAAGCAAATTTTAGAACTTAATAGTAATATTGTGTAATATTTTCAGAATTTCGATATCACAAAAATATTTCGAAGCAAATTTTACAATTTCGAAAGTAAAAAATTTTTTCGGTAATATTTTCCGATTTTCGAAATCGCAAATATATTTCGAAGCAAATTTTACATTTTCGAAAGTAAAAAATTTTTTCGGTAATATTTTCCGATTTTCGAAATCGCAAATATATTTCGAAGCAAATTTTACATTTTCGAAAGTAAAGAATTATTTCGATAATATTTTCAGAATTTCGAAATCGCAAAAATATTTGGAAGCAAATTTTACAATTCCGAAAGTAAAAAATTATTTCGACAATATTTTCAGAATTTCGAAATCGCAAAAATATTTCGAAGCAAATTTTACAGCTTCGAAAGTAAAAAAATCGTTTCGATGCAAAATTAATTACTTTAAAATTATTTCGAACTTACCGAAACGAAAATAGAGTTTCGAAAACTTTTTTTTTAATCGAAAATTCAACTTTGGCTTTCGTGAACAACCCTAAGTAATACCATCATTAAAGTTGAAGTTATATCAATACTAAAGTTTAATAAAATTGAAGTTTACCTGGAAAATATTAATAAAAAACTTTGGAATATAGAATCCAAACTTTAACGCACTTAAACTTTAAAAATTTAAAAACTTTGAAAACGCCAACTAATCTTCTAGATAAAATTTAAAACTCGCTTTTAAAATTTAATAATTGATTTAAAATTTATTTTTTAATAATTACGACATCTTACGTAACGCAACTTTACATAATACGCTCACCACCGTTGATTTTTTAAAGTAAAAAATATATAATTATTTTACGCCGCTTAACTGCAGATTTACCAAAAAAAAAATTCTTTTGGAAAAAAAGTGGAGGCACGTGCCCCCTGTGTCGTCGGCCTTGCTTGTTTTTGTTTATTTATTAAACTCGCAAACCATTTATCAACTTTGAGGCATTTTCCATTCCTACGAAGGAGTTTCATAATTAAGAACATGCAAGCTCGCACATTCTTATTTAGAACGCTAACTTCAGGTGGTTTAAATTTATGCTGTAATATTTGTTGAAAAGTTATTTTGTTTAAAAAAAAACCTGTAAAAAAAAAAGAAAAATTAAGAAAAAAAAATGGTTATCAAAAAAGTCTTTTCTAAAAAAATGCACCTTCTCTTCAAATGGACTAACTAGGAGAAGATAATTTTTTCTTTAGATTTGAACCATTTAAGCTTAATTTTATAAAACTGTTCCTTAGAAAATCTAAATTTTTTAAATCTAAATTTATTCAAACGCAAGAAACTAAAATGGTTACACGTTAGCTGAGGATAAAATCAAACAAATCAGGACAATAATAAAGGTAAAACAATTTATTTCAGTCCAATTAAAAAATAGGTGTGTTTTTTTATAAAAGATTTTTAATAATTATTATTTTCTACTCTTTATTCCAACTGAAGAAAAGGTGTATTTTTTAAAAAAAAGATTTTTTTTATAATTCTTTTTTTATAATTATTCCTTAATAAGCTTTACTTTTCTACTTTTTTTATTAATTTTTTCCACTTTACTGATTTCATTATCAAATTAATTCACGATGTTTTCGTATGATATAATTTTCTTTTTTTTGAGGTTTAACACGTGTTTTTGAAGTTTTTAAAGTCGCGTGCTTTTATCACTCGTTTCACATTCTTTACTGATTTTTTTTTTTAACATCTTTACTTCCAAGAAGACTGGAAGCAAATATTATTAGAGTTATAAGTTACTGGAAAAGATGAATTTTTTAAACGAAAATAACGATGAACAGACGATTTTGAGATTGTTTTCTTATCTAATAACATGACCAGTAGGGCATCCCGTACTTTTCAAATTTGTTTAAAAAACTCGGCCCATATGATTATTTTGCTATTAGATATATACATTAAAGAAAGACATAAATAAATTTATTAGAATAAAGGCAACATTTGCAAAAATTGACCTTAAGTTTTCAAAAATTAACTCAAATGGGGAGGGGGACCAAAATTATATTATGTCTAAGATTATTTTATATAGATGGTAAAAAAACTTTTAAAACTTATTTCAATAATGTCAGTAAATATAGAACAGTTTTAAAATATTTAGAGTGGTTCTCAAGCGCTCCTTCCTTCAACAACCTTACTACCCAACCCCCCCAACCCCTTACGTAAGTGTAAGTGGTTTTATAAATGCTTACTTAATATATGAGGGTTATATTAGTTGAAAAGCAAAAATTAAACTCATTTTTTAATCTTTATAACTCTACTAGAGTTACTGAAAAAAAATACTAAAATTTAATGAGGTCCTTCTTGCTGTTAAAACGAGGTATTATCGATCTATTTTCTGCTCTTGCACGAATAAATCCTTCTCGTCTCTCAAAACCAAACACTGTTTCAGAAGCTGCAGTTACCTAAATAAAATAATCTCTTTTGTAAAAGTATTTTTAATGCAGTAATTTTTTTTTTTTTCAAACAACTAATATATTATTGAGGTTAGGGAAAGTTAATTTTACCTCTTTAACTGCCCTTTCAACTCCTTGTGTGTGAACAGGGAAATACGGAACTACCATAGAACAATCCAGGATTTTTTTTAGCTCATTTATGTTCATTTGACAGGTTAAGATAAGTTTATAGGCCTCATCCCATGTTATTAACTCAATCAATTTGGTTGCACACAGGTTTAAATGAGGATGCTTATATGTTCTAGGAGCTAGAGTTCCTGTTTTCTCATATTTTCTAATTTCTAAAATTTTGTTTACAGCAAATTCTCTTTCAATTTTCTTTTGGCTGCAAAGTAATGTCTGCAATAAGATTTCAGAATGAGAATTCCATGCTGATGATCTCACATATTTTTCAATAACTTTTTGTACATTTTTATCTTGAAGTTTAATAAGGTTAAGTTGGTTCAAGATGTGCCGTAGCCCTTCTATCCAGCTATGCTTCACTTTGATTTGGAACCACATAGGGAAGTATACTGATACAAGAAACTTAACAATTAATTCTAAGTTTCTTAGGTCATCTCCCTCTAACCCATGCTTGCTTATCCACGATAAAAGTAAGGAAGACCCTGTATTGAGCCACCTTGAATGAACTATAGTGCCTGGTTTTCGGTTTGCCAAATCTTCAGTAAGAGTTCTTGAAATTACTGTCTGGCATATTTTATAAGCATATTTCTGATCTGAAGACAACTCCTTTATTATTTCAATTAAACCAGGACCTACAGATATTGGCTTGAAACTGTAATTTCTTTCCATTTCAGTAACCTTGAGAAGCAACTTACCAATTGGTCCAGAAAACCCTGTCTTTGAGGTTGTCTTCCCATCAAACTTTTCTACTAAATGCCGAAAATAAAGTTCGTTTGTGTAAAGAGAGCATATTAGCCACCATTATCTTTCTAATTTAATTTCTAAACAATGAATAACACCTCCATGATGGCCTGTATTTGTAGCTGTGCTATCACAACCAATGAACTTTAAGCTATGTTCAACACAATGCAAAATAGACCATTGAAATATTTGATTTGCTATATGTTCAGCAGGCTTAATTTTTGATTTTTCACACATTTCTCCTTTCGTAAAATGATGAAGATATCTACCATGTTCATCAGTCAAAGTATAGTGATCTTCCTTTTTATTTAAAGGATAAAACTTTTTGGTTTCTTCATTAAATGTCATTAAATTGGTTTTGTCACTTCTTCCATCAAAGATAATGCAAGAAACATTCTCAGAATCTAATCTATTCTCTGCAAAAACCTGACATTCTGACATAACTTTATCTTTGGCTCTATGCACTTTGTTTTTGTCCAGTAATAAAAAAAGAGCTGATCCTGGAACAATTTCAGCTTCTACCAAATCTTTTAAAAATCCTGAAGCTATTGCAGCTGCAGTAGTGTTTGAAACTTCATATCTTATTGCAGCAATAGCAGTATTTTGAATCTTCATATAATTTCGCTTTAGTTTGAAATCATCACTTTTGTTTAATAAATCAATATGTTCAGTGTAACTTGAACACTCGAACTCATTTTTAGAGCACTCTTCTTCATCATTACTTTTTTCTGAAACCTCAGCATGGGTTCTTTTTGAATGGCTACTATTTATCATCTCCTTTTTTTTGAACTTTTTCAAACTCTGTTCCTTCTTTCTACATCGCTCAAATGCCTTTCGCTTCTATTTAGTCTCAATGTAGTCTTTTGATCCTATCAAAATTTGAGACTGCTCTCATTCTTTACTTCTCTGTTAGTGAATAAGTTCTAATTCTATTATAGGAATCCTCACTGACTTTTCACATTTACAATCAATATGAAATCAAAGAGTCGTGACAAAGACTTTATTATTTTGTCGATTTCTACTTTTTTAGTTAATCTTTTCCTGCAAATATCCTGAACATCATTGTAAATTTTTTTGATCTTTCTGTCAATGGACTTATCTGTAAATATAACTGGATGTGAAAAGTCTGAGTTTGCTTTTTTCCATTGTTTAACAACTTCTAACCTTGTTTCCCTAACCAAATCATCTAATGGGTATACTTATTTTTCTGACAACTCTTTAATGAGGATAGCTTTTCAAAGAACAGCACCATAAGTTGGTAGTTCAGATGGAATAAAGTCTCTACCTTTTCCTTAAGATAAAATTTTATCATATTATTATTATTATTATTATTGTTATATTATTATTATTGTTATATAATAACATATTAATACTATATCAATATTATTGTATTAAGATATAAGATTAGTATCAAACAATTAATATTAATTTTAAATTAGATCATAATATTTAAAAAATAATATTTGTCAATATTATTGTTTTCATTGGCAATGTTATTGTTGATCAAATTTTTTAGGAGAAAATGTATTATTCATGACTTAATAATTATATTAGTTTAAAAATAATATATTAAAAAAAATATTATAAATAATTTCAAAATAAAGCAATTAGGTTTTTAAAAATTGTATACCTATTAAGTCAAACATTGCTGCGTTTGTCTTTTTTCTTGTTTTTATACCACTCATTTTATTTAAATAAATTTGTAAATTTTATTTTTTACTTGAACTATATAATATTCGTGAATTAAAGTTAATAAAAATATAAAAGCGAATTACAAAAAATATAATGCAAAAAATATTGAACATCAAGAACATTTTTGTTTAAAAAATTCCTATGGAAATGTAAAAAATTTAATTTTATTAAGAAGTTTTCACGGTTTTTTATTGCTTCCGCTTAAAAATGAATTTACAATTCAAGATAATTTTAAGGTTAATAAAATATAGCAATAAATCAATTTTTGCAAACGAAGGCCTATTAATAGCAGCTTTATTTTAACAGATTCTAAATTTAAATACTTTCTAGCAAAAAAATACCAACGGCCAAGTGTTTATTATAAAAAAAGTTGTTTTTTGAAAAGTACGGGATGCCCTAATGACCAGCTATGTTGGCGTTGTTAACCGTAAGTTGAATAGAATTGAACGTATTGTCGACATTATTGTATATATGAATCTAGCCGAAATATTTAATAGAAACTACCAAAAAAATCGAGCGCTTGAAATGTATAAAAAAATTTCTCAAATAGTTTGAAAAAACAAAATAAACAGCTTAATGTTTAGTGCGAGAGGAAATTGGATTCTTAATTTGAAATCAAATGAAGATACGATTCTTTTAAACGAACCTGTATTTCAAATATCTGGATATTAATAAAACATGATTACTAAGATTTGGAGTGATGTTGGTTTTTTAATAATGGTAAAATGGGACCCACTTATTCATGACGAGGAAATCTTAAAGCAAATGGCTTCTTTTCTAGGAGAATTCTACTTTGTAAAACATACTACCTATCGAGTGTAACCTAAAAGACGGTAGAAGAGTCTTTCGTATCAAACTCTCCTTGAAACTTGAAAATATTCCTCATACAATCAAAATCGATAGTTTAAAAAAAAGCGCTACATTTCGCTGGAGAATCGTTTTTTGCAAAACTTGTGGAAATTCTCATTTGTCTCTACAAAGATGCGCTACATAAATACAACATAAAATCGAAAAAATTGCAGAAGTCGGAGTAAAAAAAAAAGCAAAATTTAATGAAGAAAAATTTTCAAATAATAACAAACAAAACTTTTCGACATCTACAACCGAAAAAAGTGGAACCAGCAATTTTTTATTTTACACCACCAAGTCGATTGGTAGGAAAGCCACATAGAGAAGAAGTATTAAATTTTAAAAGTTCAAAAAATGAGAATCCTTTTCAATTTTTAGATAAAAACGGAACTCGACTTCTATCTAAGATATCTAATATATAATCCTCTATACCTAAGGAAATAAAATTAAAGTTAAAAGAAACGCAAGAACACTATAAAAATGCTGCATTTGATGCAGCACGTCAACTTGAAGCAAAATATTCTTCTGTATCAAATCTAGTTGATAAAAGTTGAGCAACCCTTTTTCAAAGTGAATTCGAAAAATCAAAAAAGAATTGAAAAAGAAACAGCTGAAACAAAAGAAGATGGTGACGGCAATGGATGATCGATCCATTGCCGTCAGATTTTATCGATAAAAGAGCATAGAGTGGAGAGATCTACTTCAAACGATGACGCCAATTACCTAACAGAGAACTACGGAAAGGCGCAATAGAAAACCGAAACGGAATGCCTAAAGAAATACTATACAATAAATGATGGTATGCATCAAATTATTACAATTTTTTTTTTTATATATTTTTGGTTTTTTGCTCTTTTGGGAATAATTTTATGCTAGAAAGCTATATCTCGTAAAGTATACAAGCAAAGATTTTCAATTTAGGGTGTTATGTAAAATAAAAATGAAGCCTCTAAAATATTTTACTTCAAGCATAAATGGTTTGAAAAACGCTGAAAAACGGAAAACAGTTATTAAGTCATTTAAAAATAAAACTTACGATTAGTATTTTAATACAGGAAGCCCATTTAAATAATGAAAACATTTTTTTTTTTTTAATGAGTGGGAAGGAGACATTTTTTTTTCACCTGGCACATCTAAAACATGCAAAGCAACTATCCTTTGTAAAAAACGTCATAAATATAGGGAAAGTGGGGTAATGGCGAACGCGGGGTAACTCCGAATATGGTCAAAACGATATGATAGATCAAGATAGTTGACTATTTCCTCTTGCCTGCTGAGAGGGGGTCTGATACTTAGTTCCAGACGTGCAGTAGTGTAATGAAGCTGCGCTCGTTGTTCCCAATAAACTGATTCTAACTTTTACTGATAACTTCATGCAATTTTTTGCTCGAGAAACATTTCTGTTGTACTATGGATATAAAACCACTCCTTTTGTTGATGTTGTTTAATCAATTAGTTTTTAACACGTATTGTATTTTGAGCCAATACAACCTTAATGGATTAATCGTATTTCATTTGTTTGTGTCCGCGGGGAAATAACGAACGATCTTAGTGGAGCAATTTCGAACGTCTAATGTATCATTGATAACACACGGACGTTAGGCGGCCAGAACTTTAATGTTCTTACTTTTGTCATATTTAATTTTTGCCAATGAGAAATATTTTAGAACAAAAGAGAAGTAAGAGGGAAGCAGTAAAAAATACTACTGGTCAAAGTAAAAAGAGAAAGAAGAACTTTAATCTATTTGAGGCTGATCATGTACCATCATGTAAAGAAAAAAGAGAGACAGGTGATACAGAACTTTCTTGCTTAATTTGCAAAGAAAAGTATATGGATACACCTACAGAAGATTGGATCATGTGTCATAAATGCCATTCTTGGTTGCACAAAAGTGCACAATTGGTGAAAGCACGCCCCGGGGTTTTGTTTTTGATTTTTGTTTGTATTAATTTTTTAAAGTTTTAATAATTGAAAAATTAAATGTTAATTTTGAAAGAGTGTTGTTGTATTAGGTTGCGATGAAAAGTTTCATGATCTGCCCATGGAAGAATGGATTATGTGTTAAAATTGTAGGGGTGTGTGTATCCTGAGGTTTTGTCTGTGATTTCTGCACTTGGTTATTATAATTACCATTTTATTCGTTATTACACTTCAGTGTTTGTGATTACCCAAAGGTGTGTTCGGAATTACCACACGTACTTAGGGTAATTCCTAACAGCAATGTATTTTTTTTGCCCGAAATTTTTATTTTATAATAGCGTATGTAAAAAATGCTTTTGGGGGTTTAAGGCTGAATAGTTAGACTAAATGATAAGCAATAAATATGATCAATTTTGTATATCTGGTGTTTTTAATTTGCAGTCCCGCTTAGGTGTTCGCCAATACCCCACTCTCCCCTACAATTTTTTTCTGGTATAAGGAAACTATAATTAAATTGCCTTAAAAATAAATAACGCTACTTATTTAATCATTAATATATACGGACCTTCAGGAGGTGGATATATTTACACACCTTCAGGAGGCGGATATATTTATAAATTAAGAAAGAATTTATGCAACGAACTGATGTTTTTTTTGATAAAAATCTAAACGGCTATTCGATATTTATAGGAGGAGATTTTATTGAAACGCTCTCGGAAATGGGTAGATATCCCAGAATACTTCGAAGGGAATGCCTATCTAACATAGTTTTAAAGACTTTACTAAACTTTTTAGAAATAGAAGATGTTTGGAGAACCTCTAACCCAAAAAAACACAAATATACTTCTGCTGCCATAAATGGGGTATCGCATTCTAGATTAAACCGCTTTTACGTAAGCAATAATTGTAGGCAATATTTAGATTTTTTTTGAACCAACAATATTTACAGACCATTAAAACTAACAAATAGTTATATTATTTAGTCAAAAAATTACTTTCGGAAAAGAAAAGTGAATTTTAAATGATAAACTTCTTCATAATGACGAATATAAAGCTTTATTAGAAGCGAGCTGAATTGAATTGAGAATGCAAAAGTATAGTTTGTCAAAAATTGGTGGGAGGCTGGAAAAGAAATATTATAAAAATTTCAGAAAAAATTTACTAAAGAACTAAATCAAAATAATAAAAAAAAAGAATACTCAAAAAGCTGATGAAAAACGCATCTAAGAAAATGCACCTAAATAAAAATTTAGAAATGATGTACAACGATTTAAAGAAAAAAAAACTTGAGCAAGTAAAGAAAGATAAAGCTGAAGATGCAGCTATACGAGCAAGAATCCAATGGAGATGAAAATTGCTCTTGATTTTTTATAGGATTAGAAAAACAAAAACTCTAAAAGAAATCAAAACAATATGTAATGAAAATTAATTCGAAAAGGAGGCATAAAAAAGAGTTCTTTAGATATTTTGTTAGAGTTCAAATATTTAAAAAAAAAATTATATAAAGATAAGCAAAATGATTAAGAATCCATGGCCTACTATAATTACACGGCCGGATATCTTGCCTTTTCGGAGCGAAAAATTAGAAGGGTAACTTTTAGAGGGTAGGTACAATCGGCAGAGCAGAGCAGATTGGCAGAGCAGATCATTGTAATGTTGATAGCGGCAGAGCAGATTATTCAATCAGCTGTTTTCTAATGTGTGATCTGCCAAATATTATTTCACAGATCACACATTATTCAAATATTATTTGGCAGATCACGCATTATTAAAATATAATTTTGCAGATCACAAAATAGAAAACGGCTGACTGTCTGTCTGTGATAATCTGCTCTGCCGTTATTATTATTACAATGATCTGCTCTGCCAATCTGCTCTGCCGATCTGCCGAAATATTTGGCAGATCACACATTAAAATACGGCAGATCACTTTTTTTTAGGAAAAGTATTGCGACAACAAAAGACGTTTATGTTTAAAAAGTCAACTCATAGTTCTTTCTATTCGAAGTGCATCGTTTTTCATAAAAATATTTGGCAATCACATAATAAAAATTCTATTATATGATCTGCCGAATTATTTGGCAGATCACACATTAGGAAACGGCTGATTGAATAATCTGCCGTTATTAATATTTCAATGATCTGCTCTGCCAATCTGCTCTGCTCTGCCGATTGTACCTACCCACTTTTAGACTTTCTTAATCTTCTTTTAAAATTGTTTATTTAAATATTTATAATATGGTTAATACATGTGCTGTAGTTTATTGTAAAGCTGGATATAAAAAGAGAGAGAATCAAATTGATGTCATTCCTGAAAAGCATTCACTTTTTGGATTTCCTGAAATTAATCCTGACTTATTTAAACAGTGGGTAGCATTTGTCAATCGAAAGTTATGGAAGCCCATTAAGAATTCGGCTATTTGTGCTAAACATTTTTAAGAAAAATATTTAAAAATTGGCAAAAGAGTAACATTAGTTTAGGATTTAAATCCCATTCCAACTATTTATTGCTTAGCTGAAAAAATACCACCATCAGTATATCCAACTACATCGAAAACTAGAAAGCCGCCGTCTGTCCGCCATCCATTAAACAATCAGGATGAATCCAGTATATTTATAGAAAAAGATAAAATTCACTGTTTAAATGATTTAAATAATTTTAGCCTTGAAGGGTATCAGCTTAAAATATTTAATGGGAAATACATATTTTTTAAGTTAGAAATTAATCAACACTTAGGTATTTTTGAAGTTACAGAAACAATTGTAGTTGACGAATTTATGCATATTTCATTGTTTTCTAAATCATCTTATATTCCATTGCCTCCATGGTTTAGAAATATTGGCTGTGTATTAAAAAAAAAAAGTATATTGGAGAATTTTCCAGCCTATATAAAAAATTATGTTGAAGAAAATAGTTTGTCAAATGGTTCAATAACTGAACTCAATGAAATAAAATACATTAAACCAGTTGATCAGCCAAAGTTTTCGTCAAATCTTTTACGATATTCCCTTATTCTTCGATATACATCTGCGCAGGCTTATAAAGTCTTATTAGAACAGTTTCCTCTACCATCATTTAGTCTTTTAAAAAAAATTAGTAAAGGTGGGGTAGAACCATTAAAATCTATAAAATGTTTATTAAACCAAGATAAAAATGATAAAGATGTTGTGCTACTGATGGATGAAATATATTTGCAGAAAAAAGCGCAATATCAAGGTGGTAGAATGATAGGAGTAGATAATAAGGGAATTTTATATAAAGGTGTAATGACCTTCATGATTGCTACTTTGAAAAAAAAAATTAATTTTGTTATAAAAGCTATACCAGAAGTAAAAATTGAGGGTAAGTGGCTAGCTGACCATGTTGATGAGTGCATTACATCTCTACAAGAGAATGGTTTTCATGTTCGTGGTGTAATTTCTGATAATCATTCTACTAATGTTTCTGCTTTTTCACATTTGATGCAAAAATATAAAAATACCAACCATGTTAGTAGTATTACTCATCCTACAAAAGAAAGAGTATAATATATTTATTATTTGACGCTGTCCATCTTCTCAAAAACATACGAAACAATTTACTGAATTCTAAACGTTTTATATTCCCTGCTTTTCATTTTGATCAGTTTTATGATGTTATTGATGTACATGCTGATGAAATATCATGGAAGTTACTTCATGATGTATATGATAAAGACAAATTTGACTTCAGTCAAATTTAAAAAAAGGTTTCAAATTATCTTACAAATCACTTCATCGAGGAGATAATAAACAAAGTGTATCACTTGCTCTTGCAATATTTGATCCTACAACTTCTGCAGCTATTGAAAGTTATTTTCCAGATAGGACTGATGCCTCAAGCTTTTTAAAGTTGATAAATAAATGGTGGACAATAAGTAACAGTAAGCAAAAATATAACAACAATTTTGTTATATAATATACAATATTGTATTGGGAATGCAGCTGTTATGGGTGACATGAAACCTTTATTTTTTAGGAAACTAGCCAAATGGATTGAAAATTGGCAATTATCTCAAGTTTCAAACTCTCAAAAGTTTACATTAAGTAAACAAACATCAGAAGCGTTAAGGACCACTTTAAGATGCACAGCTTCACTTATTGATGATTTAATTCAAGAAGGGTATCATTTTTTTTAGTATCACGCTTGCAAACTGATCCATTAGAACTAAGATTTTCAAAGTATCGTCAAATAATTGGTGATTTTTAATTGGTTTGTGTGAACTTGAGACATCTGAGTGCATATTAGCTTTGAAAACTTTACTTAAAGAGTCAGTCAATATCTGGGAGGAAGATGTTAGAAAAGAGAGTTGTAATATATCTTTACTTAAATTATTTAATGATAAATTGCAAGAAATTTTACCAGATATTAAAGAATGCAGTCTAGATTCAGAGAGCTTTGAAGTTGCTACAGTTATTTCTGGTTATGTTGTAAAAAAGTTTAATAAAAAGATCAAATGTGGTGTTTGCAAAACTTTTCTATTAGCTGAATTTGGTGAGCTACAATGCCAATATTTAGAAAAACTTTCTCGTGGTGGATTGATTTTACCAGCTATTGATCTTACACATTATGTTGCCAAAGCATTTGCAATATTAGATACTGCCATTTTGCTTATAAGAGACTCAAATCTTTCTGATCGATATGCTGCAGAACTGGTACTTAGATTAAATGATTGTGCTTCTTCATTCTTATGCGATGAACATCAAGTTATTGGTGTAAAATTTGTAAATCGCGTTGTTGTAAATATTTATTTTAACAATGAACAGAAACACTTTTCTGATGAAATTCGAAAGAACAGTGTAAAGGATTTTAAATGCAGACAAAGAAAAAGATTAAAGCTGAATTAGTTAAATTAATAACCAATTAAGCTGAACTGAATTGATGTAGCTAATGCTAAATTATATAGCTGAACTATTATACTTTTAATGTATACTCTTCCTTTATTGTTAGGTTTTTGTTTATTATTTTATATATCTTGTTAACATTATTGAGATTATATTATGAGAAATATATGTGTGTGTATATATATATATATATATATATATATATATATATATATATATATATATATATATATATATATATATATATATATATATATATGTATACAATATGAAGTACATCTTTAAATTAATAAAGTGATTACAAATTTAAATATTTTATTATTAATAAAATTGTTACAATTTTATATTGGTGAACAATGTACAATATAATAATCTCTTATTCTTAAGTTTTTAGAAACATAATCAGGCAAAGGAAAATGTCTAATTTTTAAGACTTGAGTTATATTTGCTAAACAAATTTTATATTATGTACACGCTTCTGTAAACAAAAATTTTTATAAAGATTTTAGTTTTAATTGCGCTAAGTGTGGCCAATCATGCTATACGATATATTTATGTTTTGAAAAGTTACCCTTCTAATTTTTCGCTGCGAAAAGCAAGATATCCGGCCGTGTAATTATAGTAGGCCAACAAGAATCTTAACATTTTTTATTCCAAAACGCTAAATGTTAAAGCCGTGACGAAACAAGAAAATTTGCTGCTGAATAAAAACATCTGAAAACGAAATTAGGAAAACTATATTCCAAATGAAAAATAACAAATCACCGGGATCGGGATCGAATGGGCTCACAATTGGAATATTATGTTTTTTTTTATGAGTTAATCAAAAAAAACTTTGTAGAAACACTTAACAACGTTTTAACTAGCGGAGAATGACACTTTCTCAAATATAGGCTATCATAACTTGTATATATACAAAAGGAGATAAAAAAGAAATTAGCAAATGGAGACCTGTCAGGGAGAGTGGTACTGAATGGACCACAAAATTCAACTTTTTTTATAAAAACTTTTTTCCCATATTGTCAACAACTATGGCGGATATATTAATTCAGAAGTCAAGATTAATATCTTAACTAACAATCCTAGTATATTGTATACTATATACTAGTTTAATTCATACCATTCTAGGTAGTGATTACTAGCGTTTTCAAGGTAGACACTGTTACCAATTATTTTACTACGAATGTTTCTATATATTTCTAGGCAACAGCGAGACCAAGGTGTTTTATATTCATAAGTTATTGTATACTATATACAATTATATACTATATACTAGTTGTAAACAATTGCACATAGCAAGTTATGTGCATTTACTTGCAAAGCAATTAGGGTGCTTTCTTGTTTTAAAACTCTATTTACCACCCTAATTGCTTTGCATAATTACACATTATGCAATGTTGAGACATTATTGATATTTCTGAATTAATACAATTTTAGACCGAAGTCTCGATCAGATACTTAAATTACAATAATCACAAACATATTGGCTGGCATTATCTGCCCTTATGCAAGCTTTATTTGCCAGCTTGCACACTGTCTGCAACGGTACCACACTTCATTGTCTCGACCCATTTCTTCACATATAGCGCACAAATCATTATTTGATGTACCCTGTAGTACCAATTGAAGTGCGAAGTTTGTTTAAACTTGTCATGTTAACAGGCATTTGTTTTTTATATATAGTTCCCGCATTTTTTTGTATTGTTTGAATAGATTCCTGGAATTTATTAATTTATTTGTGTGTTTATTTGTAGATTTTTTCATAATGGATAGTATGGAAGGAAAGGGGTGTGCAGTTTTCATTTTTTTTTATTTTACTTCATCTCCTCAAAGCCGAGAAGGCCACTACAGACGAGGAGGCTACTTATTTTGTGGCTATAACCCTCTCTCAACTCTATAACTCCGAAACACAAACCTTGACGAACAAGGCCGCTGCGCGGATAAACGAGTTGAGCGCGGTACTACCAGGGACGTGGTAGGGATCAAACTCGGAACCACTCGTTTATGAAGCGAGCGCTCTACCACTACACCACTACCGCATGTAAATTATAGCATTATTTATTCAACATGTAGTTATAGCATTATTAGACGGGAAGAGAAAACCGTATCAGATTTTCAAAATGCTGCAGCATAAAGGAATATCAAAGGATTTTGTCTATCGTACTATTAAGCGATGTAATGATAGTGGTTCTGTCAAAAAACGTTATGCCCTCAAGCGATCACTTCTCAGAGAATGGGATGCTTTATCCATGGATACCGTGCGTAAATCAATCGAGGAATGGCGTCCAAGACTGGAGGCGTGCATACGGGCAAAAGGGGGTTATTTCGAGGACTCTCTTTATAAATGTGTACTTTAGCATTTTAACTAAAACATAACATGCATATAATATGTATATATTACATTTGTTCTTGCATTAAAAACATGTTCTCTTAAATTGTTTTACTGAATTAAAATTTCGCACTTCAATTGGTACCACTAGGTAATAACTCCACAAATATTTAAACAACTTTTAACGCAATTATCACTTCTTTCAACAAGAATATCATCAGCCTTGTCATTACTATATGTCATTAATGGAAACTTTATAGATTTTGAGTTATTTGATTTTTTTCCTAATTTCCTTTGACGTTTATTTTTACCATCTTTTTGTTTTTAAGAAAGGTTTTGGTTTTTTTAAATTTTGCATAAAGTTGTTGATTTCGAAGAGCCTCTTTAATGTAATATCAGTTAGAATCGACGAGAAGAGCTTTTTGCGAACACATTTGGATTTTTCTAAACGAGCTTTTGCAGAAGGATAAGGGTGTATAGTTTCTACTTTCAGTGTATTGCTAACATTTTTGTTGATTTAAACATATTTCTATTTATTTCTAATGAAACTGGATTGATTTTGAGTGCTTTAGGATTAGGTCTAATAATTTCTACTGAAACTCGATTGATGTTGAGTGCTTCAAGATTAGGTCTCATAATTTTTACTGAAATTAGATTGATGTTGAATGCTTCAGGATTGGGTCTGTTTGTAACCTGAGATAAAAAAATCCTTATTCTTCTATCGATCAGGTTGTAATAGACTTATTCCAGATGCTGAAAAACCACTAATGATGTTAACTGACATTGATACTTTTGCCCAAACCTTTCCAGAAGTTTCTGCAATGTCATAGATTGAAGCAGTTTTTCCAGGATGTGATATCAACCAGTTATCAATTTCACGATTTTAATGACGTTTGAAAGGTCCATACACTTATATCTAGTGGTTGCAGTTTGCGTGATGTATGAGGTGGGATTGTTAAAACAATTACACCATTATCTGATGCTAAGTCAATAAAGTTAATTGACATATGTGTCTCGTGATTATCTAGTATCAATAGCACAGGGTTTGCCTTAAATGGTCAAACACTTTTTTATAAATTGATTAAACCACTCCATAAAGGTTGATTCCAGCATCCACCCAGATTTGTTGGCAGTGCCGACTGAACTGGGAATTGAATTTTGCCGAATAAAGTCTTTAAAATGGACACGCGGAAAAATGTAGAATAGTGTTACCGATGATCCACTTGCATTTACTGCATTGCACATTGTTACCAAGATACCTTGTTCTGTACTTGTAACAGAAGCAACTTGCCGCTCTCCTCTCTTTGCTAAAACATGCTCTGGCACTTGTACAGTTGTAACACCAGTCTCATCAACGTTTCATATAACATTCGGCGAAAACTTGTATTTAATCAAAAGACTATGCAGATCATTATAAAATAGATCTACATTATATTTGTTGAATGCTGACATTCGACCAATAGAAGTTGCATCTAGTTTACTTATAACAATTTCTGGATGACGGCTTAAAAAAACTCTAAACTAATCTACACCTGCATGTTTATTTGTTTCCCAAGATTTAGCAGAACCTCGACGAGAATGTGGACGCTTCTTCTCAAGTTTGAGAGCATATTCAAATGTTAGTGCTCTTAGCTTAATAGGACTTAACCCATATCCCATTTTTGCAGAAACAAAACAATAATGAACCAGCTCTTGTTCTTCTGTTACTAAAAAAACTTTCATAGAACTGTTACTATATGGAATACATTGCAATCGATTTAATCCGTTTGGCGATAGTCGAGCTTTTTTAATTCGCCTCTTAAGAGTTTGACTCCAAATATCTCAACAGCTTTTCTTTCAGATAAAGTTTTTTATCAAAACATTTTCAACTGCTTGGATCATATTACTGGGATTCCAATCACCTTTTAGTGCTGCACACACACACACACACAAAATGGTACATTATATAAAAGCTTGAACGTAGGATAACTTTTTATTATGATCAACAAACTTTAATGATTTAAATAGAACAAGTAGTTTACAATATTTTTGTAATGTTTTGTCTTCTTATTTATTATGAGGAGAATTCAACGTTGGTTTTTATTTAATATTTATTTCAATATTTGTATATTAAATTATTACAACTAGTTTAATTATAAAATTATGTGTAATTTTGTATCGAAACTCCAACTGTCATTAAGTTCAGCGCAACGGCTTTTAAGCGCGAATTTCTCGTGCGGAATTCTCTCAAGGGAATACTTTCGTAATCAGTTTTCGTGCAATTCGCAAAAGGGAATTGCTTGTATTGCAATCATTGATTGCTATTCTGAATTAGCGTTATAAACGATTTTCCAGAGGGAATTGTTTTGCGTAACAATCATTTCAATTTTATTCTTGGTTTTATTAGATGTATACTACTTTATTTTTTATATTATTAAATATTATAATTTAATAATTATTTTTATTATTATTAAAACTTACTGATAATTTGATATACAACACCTTTTTTATTGCAAGAAACCTAAACATTCGAATAAGTCTGAGTACACTTGTAATGTTTAGGTTTCTCGATGTTTTTTAAAGTTTTTGACAATTTGACACACAAAGTTTTTAATTATCCTTACTTCTTATACTAATTATCCTTAATTCAATCTGAGAAGTTTATCTAACATTAGGAAATTCGCCTAAAGGAGAAGAAACAACTATGCTTTAATTTAATTTAAAATTAAATCTTTTGTCATTGTTTTTAACAACGTATAAAACAAAATTTTAAATATACTATACATAATAAATGTTATATGCTAGATATGTTATTATAAGTAATAACGACTTAAATAATTTAATATATTTAATAATATTGCGAAATATTCAATTATTGAAATAATGAAATAAACTACAAAATAATAACTATTATTTAAGTATGTAAATAACACAGGTCTACAAAAAATTTATTGCATTAAATTTGACACTTGTTCTTTCATAATTTTGATACGCTGAATTCAAATCATTTTTTATGGAAAGCTACAGATTTTTTGCAATTTATATTTTTTTAATTTTGCAAAACAGTAGAAATAGTTCTAAAATACTAGATTAATTCTAAAATAATAGATTTGAAACTCATTTGGAAATGCTAGGATATACTTTTTAGAATAAAAGTTGTTTACAAAACTAAAACAAAAACAGAAAGCAAATGAAACTAAATGTAAACTGATTAAAATAAATATTTTTCAAATATCCAAGTCCTAGCAAAGTTATTAACTTTTTATTGATTAATAACAAAATCTTTTACTTTAGTGAAAGATCTAAATCTTTTTTACTTTGTTTTAAAAAAGATTGCTGATTATATTGCTTATTTAGTACAACTACTTAATCAGGACGAAACTTTTGTTTGTTGCTCTTTTGTTTATAAACTTTTCCTGTGTCTTCTCGCTTGATGCCCCAGCAGTAGCCTGCCATCATGTGTATATCCCAACGTCCTTGGTAACGATCTTCGATTGTCTTAAGATCTTGATGGAATCGCTCTCCTTGCTCTTCACTCGCATTTCCAAGATTTTTAGGAAACTGGTCAAGATGACTATTTATATAATGAAGCTTTATACTCATTTTGCATCCAAGATCACAAAGGCTTTCATCAACTAAATTACTGCATAGTTTTCTGCGTTTTTATTTCCAAGAAAATTTTTTATAACAATCACAAACGATAACCAAGCCGTTTTCTCTTTCATATTCATCGTTTTAATGAATTCTTTATCTTTTATAAGATAGCAAATTTGTGGCCCGTTAAAAACAATCCTGGTAATGATTTAACTATATACTTAAAACAATCACTATCAGTTTTTAGTGCTTTAACAAATTGTTTCATGAATCCAAGTTTAAGATGGAGTGGTAGAAAAACTATTTTGTTTTGACTAACAATCGGTTCATTCACAATATTTTGCATTCCCACTGTGAGAGTCTTGCGAATAGGCCATTCTTTTTGTATCCAGTGTTGATTTCTCACTCGACTGTCCCACATACAGAGATAACATGGAAATTTTGTAAAACCTTTCTGCTGACCAAGTAGAAAGTTAACCATTTTTAGATCTACACAAATAATCCAGTTGTGTTCATGATATTTAATCAAGTTAAGTACCATTTTAATGTCATCGCAAGTTTCTCGCAAATAAACAGAATGACCAATTGGTACAGAATCAAAAATATTTTACAACAATATGCAATACAACGCATTTGAGGTTTCGCTTTGAGCTATCGATAAAAAGTCTCCATTCTGCTGGATTATATACAGAAATACCCAACTGTAGCAGGAGACCTGAAATATCAAGACAGTAAACAAATAAATTGACTTCTGGAAAAAAAGTCAACAAAAGTTTCATCTCTTGTTCTAAAATAAGATACTTTTGCAAAGTTATCAAGTAGATTTTTTTCTTTTAAACGTGACGCTAATACTTCTGCTGCTTGTTTAGAAAGTCCTAAATCACGAGCTAAGTCATTCAGTTCTATCTGACTAAAAACTAAGGCAAACTGAATTGTTTAGCATTAGATGAGAAGTCTTCCAAATCTGGTAAAAATTCTTCTGTTTCTGTAGCGGACACGCTTTGCTCATCTTCTGACAAAAATAAACCTTTGAAAATAGGAAATGGAATCTTGTTAGAATGTTGAATTGGCCTAATAGCAGATGGAATGTTGGGATAAGTTATTTTTTGTCTCCTAATTTTGCCAACACCACTAGTATCAACAAGACAAAAATAGCAGTCATCAATATGATTTAGTGGTTCCCTCCTAACCATAGGGACTCCAAAAGGTAAACTATTTCTTTTTCCTTTTGTCCAATCTTGAACTTTCTTTACAAATATGGCATACAGTATGTAGAGCCCACTTTTTGTCTTGGTCACCAAGTTTAATATCGAAATACGATTCTTATGCTAATTTCACAAAATTAGTAATGTTTCGTCTTTGTCGATCAAGTGCATAGCAACCACATATATAACAAAATGAGTTAGGATTATGCTTGCACTTATGTCGATTTGAAGATGCCATCATAATATATATTTGATCTAATAAAAACAATGAGATGGTGACTTTTTTTATAACTATTAAATATAAATAGCTATAAAAAAAACATAATTTTTAAAAAAATGATAAATTGAGAATTGCAAAAAAACTAGAGCTTACCAACAAAAACTTATATTTGGATTCAGCCTTTAAAAATGCATAAAAATAAGTTTCAATATCTCATGCAACAGAAAAAAAGTTTTTTTTTGTTGACCTGTGTAATCAGTCT